AAGTGCCGTGGAATGACATTATCATCAAAACCGTGAACGTTTCTGACTTTGACCCAAAAGAAGAATCGTTTTTGTCCTGGAAATTAAACTCCCGCCTCCATCTTTGATCTCTGGAGCACATTTTAACTCCGCCTCTCTACAACGTTAAAGTCACATCACCCACAATCCTTTGCTACTTTAATTAAAGAAATGCAGTGGCAGTAATAACAGAAGGTGCTGATTATTCAGCCCTCAGAGAGGGATGTGCGAGCTAAGTTGACTTGATCCTCTGTGAGGAGGGCAGGTCTGAGCCTGAGGGAAACCACAAACCTTCATGTGTCACATCAAAAACCTACCTCCATGTTTAGTCTGAGATCCAGCCTTTAATCTACTTCCTGTTGACAAAACAACCTCCTATCCGCGTCTGCCTGTGTCATCATGAAACGTGAGCTTCCTCAGAACACAGCCAACAATTCTTTGTTGATGTGAAAGCAAACATTGAGGACAAAAAGTCCTCAAAGAACAAAGAAGATGATCAAAAGAGCCATAAAAAACAACATCGATGGAAGTTTTGGGTAGATGCTTTTAACTTTTAGCCTGGCACCAGTAAAATAACGACGGTTTACAAACTCTGACACTAAAAAAACACCCTTAGAATAATTGGTGGAGCTGCAGGCAGTGATCTGTTGGCCCTCCACCGGTTTGTTAGAGTCAAAGTGGCCATGAACTCACGCTGGCAGATGTTGGCGTCTCTGATGTCACTCTCTGGATGCTGGTAGTAAAACGGTTTGCACTGCTCACAGTTGTTTCCAGCTGTGTTGTGCTCACAGTTGTCACAAACTCCTCCGCTCACGTTTCCCGAAGCCGCAAAGACTGCCCCGTCAAAGTGACACGAGTCCGAGTGCTGGTTACAGTTACACTCTGAGGACACCACAGAAGAAGAAGGGGGGACAGTTAAACTACTCCCAGTGGTGATATGGGCTGTGCCCAGTATGGACCGGTGCAGACTCACTCTTGCAGGCGTTGGTGTTGCGTCCCTCTGCGGGTCTCCAGGGGAGGTCGTGGTAGAAGTCCTGGCACTGTTCACAGTTCAGACCTTTAGTGTTGTGGTTACATAAGCAGTGACCATGAACCTGAAACACAGTCACAAATAATCCATAATCAATCAGCGTTCGCTTACATTACTGGTCATAAGCTGGGTTTTGGGGTTTTTTGTACATGTAGTCAGTTGCCTGTTGCACCGTTTCTTCCAGTGTCTGTGTGATTTTATACTTTTCTACGCTGGTGATGGTTTACTTTCACAACCGGCTCAGCTGGTTATGAAAGAACAACGACGCCAAAGCATCAAAGCCTACACTTCGGTCCCCACAGACTGCCATGTTGAATTTCACAGCAGAAGTCAACATGTTTACAACTTGATATGCTGTTTGCTCACGTGTTTAAACTGCTTTAAGCTTAAAGTGTTGATTACTAGGGGCGTGGCCTCTTTGACTGACAGGTGGACGTAGCTGCTAGCTGTCTGCTAGGCCTCACCTCAGCTAATTAGAGTCCCTGATTTGATTGGATGTTACAGACACTAATTGGCAGGTATCTGCGTGACGCTCCCTGGAGCCACTTTCCCATTAGCACCCACTCGGATCAACTGGGCTTCCTGTTACAATCGGGTACCTCCTAATGCGCATGGTTGTCGTCATAGCAACATGGCCATGTAAATACAGTCCGTAATCGTCCTCACCATGCCCTCTGTTATCTGCCCAGCTCCCTCGACGGGGGCGCACTCAGAGGCATGTCCGTAGCAGAAGCAGTTTCCTCGGACCACCATGTCATAGATGGCGTAGTAGTACTTCTCTTTGATCTCCATACGAGAGTCCAGAAGGTTGTCTCCAAGCGTGTGCAGTTTGGTGAACTTCACCCTCAAGTTGGTGATTTTCAGCATGTCTAAACAAAGAACCAGTAAAATTCATCAATAACTGGTTAACACCCCTACGCTTATTCTCCGTGACGCAGAGAAGGAGACGTACTCTGGATTCGGGGACTGTAGGGGTCATCGATCCTGAATGCTGGATCCAAAACTCTGAAAATCACCTGAGGAAACAAAACAAACAGCATTACCCGCAGCAGTGTGAATAATACTGATGTTAGTATTATTCACAGAAGCAGGAGCAGCAGATGTACCTCTCCTTCAGTGGATGGCTCAATGTCAGAGTAACGCGAGTCACAGATGACATCGTCAACCTTTCTCATTGGACCCCGGTAAACGGACGGGAAGGACGACTCGCAGTCGTAAGCAAAGTAACGGTAAACCTGCCACGTCTTCCCGAAGTCAGCTGACCGCTCAATCACCATGGCAGCAGGTCGAAAGGTCTGAGGAAATAAAAACAAAAGTGGGCAAACTGAGGATCGTGTGGTGAGGATGATGGCGTGGTGAAGACCCGGGCTGGACTGCACAAATCTGGTTTATGCACCATGATCACTGACAAAAGCCCAATTACATTTCCCCTCTGGCGCTGTGGGCAGGATTTATCCTTCAAGCTCGGTCCTCTACCAGAGGCGTCATATGCAAACATTTCATTCTGTTTGATTTCAGATTATTGACACATAATCAGGTTGGTGCAGGTGTTGTTGTCCTTAGTTGCACTGCAGCATGTGACAATAATTAAAGTCTACACTTAAGCTGTTAGTAGTGACTCGTGGTCAAAGCAGCCTGAATCCTTGAATCTCTGTCTTCCCGATTCCCTCCATCTGTTTTCTTACCATGTTCACCTCCTCTTCCTCACTTCTCCTCAGCTGGTGCAGCTGTAGCCTCCTGTGATTGTGAGGTCTGGTTACTGGCTGTTACTGGTACTGCTGTTCACGGTGCAGCAGCTAACATGTTAGTAATTTCACTTTAATTCATTATTTTATTGTTTTCTCAGACTTTCAGCTCCACTTTCTTCCACACTAAACTTTTTCTACAAGCTACGTGAGCACACAGCAAAGGTATGGGAGAAGACAGCTGCATTGTGTGTCGGCTCACCGCAATGCCCGACCAGTCCAGCCCTGGTCGTAACCCTTCCCATTATGGAGTACTTGCTATGTCCTTTCAATACACAACTCACAACAACTCCTCAATCACTGTGTGCACCTGGTTCTTCAGATTAAAAGAGACCAGAATCACCTGTCAACTACCCAGAATCCCCTGCTGCATGTGTAGAACTCACCTTGAAGGTCATGATGAGATGCGTGAAGTGAAACTCAGCCTCGAGGTTGAGCTGGATGGTGACGTTCTCCACACCTACAGACAACAGATCATCAGTCACCAACACTCTGTAGATCAGACTCTGCGCGCCACATCGGTTAAAGAGCCCAGAAATCAACAACACGCTGCAGTCGCTGCACATTAACATGATCGGAGCTGAGAAAAGACCTAAATCTGTGTCCAAGAACCAACAGTTCAATTCAGTTTTATTTATATAGCGCCAAATCACAACAACAGTCGCCTCAAGGTGCTTTATATTGGACAACAGGACTCCAAAGAGTGACGACCAAAGGTAACAGCAGATCATCTGTGTTAACATGCCCACTGTCAGAGGATGACGGACACCATAAAGGAGTCCACAGCTCAAACACTGCAGCGAGTACCTGGTTCTGCACAAAACACCGCGGCGCAAACGCACTCGCTCATCACGGGAACAGCGAGTTCATCTGGGCAGCAGAGCTCGGCCGAGGCAACAATACAAGCTCACAGCACCTACCATCAGCCAATCAATGCAGACATACAGATACAGCGAGCAATGGAAAATTAACAGAGACATGAAGCTGCCTGGCTAGCGTTACTTTACCGCACTGGGTTTGTGGTGAAGAGCACAATGTGTTGTCTGAACCTGTAAGAGGTTTGTTCTGCAGTAAAACTAAACTATCTGTTTGATGAACCTGGACAAATGGCAGGTCGGCTGTGTTTGCCTCCTCACTGCGGGGCTTTTTAAAGCTGAACACCCCCCACCCCTGGGAATAACTACATGGCCTCCAGCAGGGACCCGCCCCACAGCCTAAGAACCTGTAATCATGGAGGAGTGGAGGATAGAGGGTGATAAAACACAACAAACATCTTTTCTTCTGACAGTGAAAACCTGTCTGCAGCTCTCAGTCTTTAAACCTGTAACGACACGTCTGACCTTTGACCTCTCTGAATGTTCTTCCTCACCATTCTCAGTCTGCCACCAGGTCTTCAGTCTGTTCGGGGCAAACGTAGTGACGACGTTCTCGATGCGATGGCTGTCGGTGCGATTGGCCAGCTCGTTGTAGGGCTCTGACGAGTCGCACACAAAGCACTTCTTCTCCTCCTGGTTTATGAGACAGAGGGGGAGGAAAAGGTTAACAGGAGGTGAATTCCTCGGATTCCTCAGTGCCGCAAGTCACTGGAGATAAGAGGAAACTTTCTGACCACAAACTTCCCACATAAGAAAAGTCTGACTTCACCTGAAATAATGCAAGCTTCTCACTGGTTTTGTTTTTAGAGTTAATGACAAAACTTTGGAAAACTTCCTTCTGGGAACGTCTCAGTCATTAAGAGATGTCAGAAAGTTGCTTGATTCCCGGACAGCCCAACGTGTTTCAGCTGCTCAGACTTCTCTCAGGGGGGAAACCAAACCCGATGCAGTGCAGAGGTTACAAAGGGGGGCAGATGAGGGCTTTTTCAGTGAAACACTGTTACTAGCCACTCAAGACAAAAAGCTGCACGCCGCTCTTACATAGAGGAGCACTAACAGACACATCAAGTCCGACTGAGAACTGAAGCGTCCCTGTTTCTCTGCTGCCTCTGGACAGAATTATAAAAACAACCAATACATTTTATAGTTTGTGATGTTCAAGCAGCAACCACACAGAGGGAGGATCTGGGACGAATGACTGAATGAAAGGAAGGAATTAGAGGATGTATAATCAAAGTCACATGACGGAAGAATGTCGGCGACTCGAACACGCTGTTATTATCTACGTATGACACATGTCCACACACATTTGCCTCAAACATTAAAACCTGATGTTTACAATCAGCCTGTGTGGTTTATTGACTTTTGATTGGATGAAAACAGTGTGACCTTTGAGTTTGCTGTGTTTTCTCCACAGGAACATCTGGACAAACATCTGTCTGCAGTCAGCGCTCATGGTTTCCTTATAGGGAGCTCATTTTGCACAGGAAACACTTCAGACTGTAACACACACACGGAGTGGGACTGAGCTGAAGGTCGTTTAAACCGGATGGCTGAGTTTGTCTGATGATACTGGATTCTCCGGTAACGTCGCTTGCGTCTCCGGTACTGAAACGCCCCTGATAAAAGCGCTGCACTGAACTCTTAGCGATACTCAGACCTAATTAGACCACCTAACGTTTAATACGATAAAGACATCTGAAGTGATCGCTTACACTTCATCCATGTATGAAGACTACCTAAGCACTCATAGCATAAATGTCCCATTCTTTGGACTTCAATGGCAAATTCATCCTGAATCCTTCATATAGGATCTTATTAGAGGTCAGAGGTCACCAACGACTTGTCTCAGTTTTTAAGTTACAGTATTTTCAGTATTTCTGAAAGAAGCTAAAGACTAAGCTGCAGTGATGAGTTCGTGATTGTTGAGCTAAAGAGACTGGTACACTCCTACATGCAGCATGGAGGAGCACGGAGGGGCCGAGCCCGGGGGCGGAGTCTGGTGGGCGATCTGCTGTGCCCCTTTAACCACAGCTGCCCCCTGTGTTGCCTTTACCTCCTTTTAGAAGACGTTCGGTGCCCAGTTGTGTTCTTCTTGGGTCTCTCTGGACTTTTCTGTCTGAGACGTTCAGTCATGATCTTGTTAACCATTAAATTTACCTGCAGGTGGCTGACGATACAGAATGGTTCGGGTCGGTTCATTCCACAGGTGGAGGTGGATGACAACTGATGGGCTCGGCCAATCAGAAGGTCTCCTGTTGCTGGGTAACAGCTGCCTTCAGTGCACACATCACTGAGCTCGGGTTGGCTGATGTCGTCCGCGGCCCCACCCTCCTGAGCACAGGTAAACACCTGCAGACCTGAGAGAAAAAGCTTTAATGGTAAAAATCTGAGAGCGGGATTAACGAAGCCCCGCCCACATTTATTGATTAAAGAGACAAAGCGCAGCTGATTGGAACCTAAACCCAGAGCTGCTTCTCCTGGGCTTGTATTCTGGAGGACATCATGAGGAGAGAAAAATCAGTGAGTCAAACCTTCACGAGTGACTAGGGCACCGTGCGACTATCCGCAGTCTACAGATTACTGATTACCACTAAGATGATCTCTGAGAGGACCAAACATGTTTAAAGTCACATGTTACAAACACAAACTGCACAGATTTAAACTAAACTTTATTTATCACACATTGGCAAAATGTGTGCGTTTGCTTTGAGTTTCATGATCATCAGCTTCTGAATTCTTTTACATCAAACATGTCGACAAATTCCTAAAGATTATTCCACTAGAACTCATAAAAAAAGCCCTCCGAGCCCATTTTATTCTGAAAGTTTCCCGAAGTTTGAAAGTGTCTCACACTTATTTTCATGTTAGATTATTTTATCATGAATGAAACGAGCGGCTGAGAGGAAGAAGCAGCATTTTGTAATTTTCAACAAAGAAACACGAAGATACAACTCTGGATGTTTTAAATCAAACCGATCCGACAGGACGTGTTTAAGGAAAGTTTGAAATTGGAAAAGTTAAACTTTATTTAACTTACCGAGCAGCAGCGCGAGCTGAAGCTGAAACATGCTGCAAATCCTCACAGTCTGAAGACCCCCCGGACCTCCTCGGACCTCCTTAGCTCCCCTCAAACTCCTCCTCCGAACAGACCGGCTGACTTTCAAATTAAAACATCCGGCCCGAGTAACGTGGTTGTGCTCACAGCGAGAAAAACACCAAGAACTAAAGAGTTCAAACTGTTGGAGCAGAATAAAGTGATCAGTAACGCGATTCCAACACACACACAGAGTAAACTGCTGTTAGCCCTCCTCATCGTTAATTGCCGTTATTTGACTGACTGATTGATTGATTGGTGTCTGTGCAGCTGTTTGAAACATATAAAAAGTTTTTTTCATCTTAAACTCGGTGAATCCCCCCCACTCTCCCCCTCCTCCCTCTCAGGTCCACAGACAAAAGAAATTCCTCACCCCTGCCCCCAACTCTCACGCACACACGTATTTTCTTTGTTGTTGCAGGTGGGATTGAAATAAGGGGGGCAGGGCTGGGTGTGTGTTTCGGACCCCCCACCTGAACGTCTTCTGCCAG